AATTCCATTAATGATGGCTATTGAATGCAAGTTTTTTATTCTAAAATCAAACTCATATACTAAAGCAAATTACTAATTATTTGAAGAAGAATTTGCACACCAATGAGTAAGAAACTAACAATAATCAAGTTAAAACGGATGCAAATTAAAATAATGCACAGCAAGATTGATGAATAACAAACCAAGAATCCAATATGAATATCAATACACGCCTTGGTTGATGTTTCAATTAATGATTGTGTAAAAGATTTGCTTGATATTGCCTTACTCTTTTTTGCAACACAAAACCATGTTCAAAATTGAATTCTCAAATGTTGAAAGTTTAAAACTTTCTTAAAATTAATGAATATTAAACCTACTCTTTATTAGCAAGGAGAGTATTAATATTAGTAAACTCATCAAATATGAAATCCACACATTTGAGCAAGGAAACCGTCGATATTCTTGATTTTTGTTGTAAGCAGCTTGTACCACAAACAGGACAAACCAACTACAATATGTCTTCCACACTACCACATCAATCATCCAGTCAATTTTTGTTTCTAGAACTTTAACCTTCCAACCAATGACAATTTGTACAAGGTGAAGAGGATGGATAATGGACAGTAGTGAACTTCAAAAATGCTCTTTGAACATGGATTCATGGAAGTTGTACACTATTCTATCATGATTTGTGATCCAATTTTTGTATGACATAAACACAGATGAAGTAAAGCTTACGTGGCTATCAAAAATTATAGCATTTTTCAAAATGATTGTAGAAAACCTAAACAATCTAATACAATAGAAAGAGCTAGAAATCATCTGCTGTCTGTCAAGTTGTGGAGGGAGATAATGAGAGGAAAGACTAAAGAAATATGTAAAACAAAACAATGTTACTCGATTGGGGTTTCAAACTGAGAAGAGATTCCCCTTCACGTTAAGCTAAATCTCCTCATTGTAAGTACACTACTTAATATCACTGAAATAAAAGGTGAAAATTGAAAATCCTAATACCAGAGGAAGAAAGGTTGCACCTTGACACACTAACAAACCAAGAAGACAAACCTCGTTCTGATGATTCTTATAGAAACCAAGCACATGAATGTGAGTGAGTACAGAAGTTACTATCAAGATGGAAGTTTGTCTGATTTTAATTTGAATTACAAGTGGAGGAGTGGAAAAAAGGGGGGGAATATCATGAAGATGAAGTCATTGAAGAGCCATGGGTAGGGTGGCCAAGTGTGGAAGTTAAAGGGGAAATTTGCAGCAAGACCTAAAAAAAAAAAGGAAAATAGATTATGGCTTGATTTATATCATGCTAATTTGTGGTTGTCCTGTCAAGCATGACTTGATTTTCAACCACGTCTGAGAATTATTTATAAAATAAATCTAAGCTAATTTTTAAAATGGAGAGATTTTAATTTCGGGTAGAGATAGGGAGATTTTTCAAGGATGGGGAAGTTATATATGTGAAATTTGTTTATTATCAAAATTTTCACAAGATTTTTAAATTAAGAAATTAAAATTAAAAATAAGAAGTTAGGAAGTTGATAATAGATAAGATCGTGGGAGAGAAAATTTAGGGATTGGAAAAAGTAGTTTGTGACAGTTTTAAAATAATATTGTCATTATTATTAAAAAATCATATTTTTATTATTATAAAAAATCATTTTTAGAAATTAATATTGATGTGGATAGTCTACAATTGCAGCATTTTTAAAAATGCACACGTGAGGAGCTTAGACTTAGAAGGCTACTTGTGGTTCTAACTTTTTTTACATATATAGATATATAAATTTCTTTAATCCTATTTTTAGAAGACAAGCAATGAAGGGACACATAATTTTCTTATTATTATTTTTAAATTAGAAGTTTGCTTATCATTTTTAACTATAAAATTGAATTTGGTTATTAATTTTTGGTTAGACTATTATCGTTTTAATTATTATAACCTTGAAATTATGTTGGGATACTCGAGAGATATATGAGAGAGTGATTTTTTTAATTATAAAATAGGATTTGAATATTAATTTTTGTTAGATTATTATTGTTTTAATTATTATAGTCTTGAAATTAAGTTGGGATAGTGAAAAGATACGTAAGAGAGGGGAGATTTTATTTATTTCTAAAATAAACAATAAATCATAAAATCATAATTGACACATCATATCATTTGGATAGATATATGGAAGAGAAATAGTTTAGTTATTTTTTAATAAAACAAAAAACATTAAAAAAACAAAACTTAAAGGACACGTGGCATTTCTAGACATAAGTTTGTGGTTCTACTTTTATATATATACATATATATATATTAATTATTAATTAATTACATATGAGACTAGTCACTTATAAAAATAATAGTTTTAAGTTACTTTGGATGAACTTACCTTAACTTAATACATCTTGGGTGAGGAATTCTTAGGTAGACCGGGTGTATCACTTCATTTGTGATTTATCTAATAAAAATATGACATTTAGATGATATTAAATATAAATTAATTTTGATATTAATGATAATAAAGAGAAAAAAGGTAAAAAAATCAAATATACATTCTCCTATAAGAATAAAATCAATTAAAAAAATATCATACAAGATTTTATTTAAATTATTTAAAATATTTTAATTGAATAGATTATAAATAATGTGATGCACATGATCTATCTAAGTATTTTTCTACCATGGGATCATCCTCTAATCCCTGAATGCGAGACTTTATCGCACATTCTAATAAAAAATGATATATTAGTTTAACCTGGCGTTGATTACAATTAAATTGTTAGGACTAAATGATTCTGTGTGTTCCAAAATCTAAATGATTTTTCTTTTTTTTTTCTCGGTAATACTTTTGACATAGTAAAGGCAATTTTATAACATACTGTGTGCTTTTTATTCATTTTTCATGGATTTTTCATAATAATATTTTTATTTTAATGAGGCATACGACATATACTTATAAATATAGAATAAAAAGTGTTATAAATATTATAATATGTGTATAAAGAAATGTCTTTCAGAATTTTCTCATAACCTTCAAAGTAAATTGTTTCTTGGAGATTGTATATGATTTTAATACATGTAAGTTTTAAATAGTCATCCATTGTACAATTATGCAATTTAAATCCTTCTTTATATATACTAACTCTCTCGGAATGTTATCTAAAGTTGGAGGCCTATGAATGAAAATTCACATGCCCTCATTATTCCACAAAATTATTTCTCTTTTGTTTTTATCACTACAATCAATATATATATATATATATATATATATATATATATATATATTAGCAGTTTTTAACTCTTATTATATAGTGGTTATATAGAAGGATCACTACCATATTTATCATGATGAGATATATATTAGCGGTAAGGGTGCACATGGGTAAGGCCCCTACCTAAAGGATCATCAAGACAATCAATGTAAAAGGGAACTGAAAAAACTTAGACAGAGACAATCAAGAGACAAATATGAGCAAGAGACATTCGAGACAAGCAACAATCGAGATGAGCAACACACACAGGTAGATGAGTGAAGGTTGTTGGCGTTGTTGGGAGAGGGGAGAGAGGAGACTGGCGATGAGGTATTGAGAGCAACAACGATGATGACGGAGCTTCTGTGCGAGGAGAATGACAAGAGCAACAATGATGGAGACTCAAGATAGGAATGGGAAAGTGGAGAAGGAAGACTGTGCTGTGGAGACTGGAGAGCGAGAGACATTGAGAGCAAGAGGGGAGAAGGAGAGGGTGGACTATGGAGTAGGGAGACTAGAGAGGCCAAGAGGAGAGTGAAAAATAAGGTTACTCAAAAAGTGGACATTGGAGTAATTTGAAAACTCGTGACTAGACACACAAATTCCTCTTTCAATCTTTCCTTAGTCTAAATTTCACTAACCCTTGAAAACAAATTTAAAAAAATAATACATGTATTTTGAGTAGAGCGACATACCTTACCCACAACCTGACCCTGCCCAAACATCAGCCATGCTCAAACACATCCAAATCATATTTGGTAGTCTTTTTAAACGTCAAGTTAAAAGATAATTTACCTAATTCGAGCAATCAGATTGCATGCACAACCCTAATTAGTAGTTTGTAGATCCAAGCTATAAAATTCAAATTGTTCCACTATAATAAAACTCCTAGCTATAAAGTTTACCCAAAAAATAAAAAAAAGTTCATATAAATGAAAATGTTGACCTAAAAATTTAGAAATTGAATTTAAAAGTAAAGGCAAATCCTCTTTGGTTGCGGCCCAATATGAACATACATGTTTCACATATGGAGCCACCACCCGCCGCCGCTGCCTCATCTTTTTTAATATTCCGTTTCAGATTGCTTCTCTCTCTCTCTCTCTCTCTCTCTCTCTCTAACAAAAATAATTTCATTTTATAATTATCACTCTGTCAAGGAATAATTTTTTTATATGAATAAGTATATGTTAAAAATTTTAAATCTAATTAACTCATTAAAATTAATTTTAAATGGTCCAAATGATCTCACCACAGTCATGAGTTTCACCGAAACTCAATCCAAAGCCAAACATGTGCAAGTTAAATCAAACATAGCCTCACTTACGCTACCAGAATAGTACACACATATGCATACATATTCCCTTTCACATTATCATCTTTTTTAATTAAGGGAAAAATTAGAGGAAAGGACCAAATGGAAATGATAAAAAAGGATCTTAAAAATTCTAATTATTAAGAAGGACCAACTATCAAAATGTAAATTTAAAAATATTAAATCGCCGATGTCAAATCTCCCACATTATTGAAATTGTTGAATGCCAAAGCGCACCAAATCTAAAATGGAAGAAAAGAAAGATAGAAACAAAATATAGATGGATGTAATGCAATTATTTAGCCAAATATTTTACATAAGGGTATAATGGTCCTTCAACATAATTTTAATTTTTATGATCCTTTGTTAAAAATATCGATGGCTGTAGAACCTTCTGCATAAATTTCCCTTTAGTTAATTAAATCGGCCCATTTCACATTGCTTCACACACTCACTCTCCGTATCGCCCCAACGAATCTTCTTTATATGTACAGCTTTTGAGAATCCCACCCTTCAAAACAAACACGTACCAGTCTCTCTCTCTTCCCCCCCAACCTCTCTCTTTCTGAGGAGGAGGAAGAAGAAGAACAAGAAGCCATGGTTGTGATGAGAAAAGACATTGTTACAGGGTTGACAATAGCGATAATGGTGGTGGCGGCATGTGAGATTGAGATATGCATGTCAGATTCAACCAACACCACAATGATTAACAGAGGAAGTTTCCCCAAGGGTTTTGTTTTCGGCACTGCCTCTTCTGCTTTCCAGGTTCGTCCCTTTTGACATAAATTCTTCAACCACAAATCTCTGGATCTTCCATTGACAAACCAATTTATTTCTTTAACTAAATACGTATCTGGGTGGGTTTGGTTTGAGGTTTTCTTTTCCTTTGGGTTGTGAATAATGGTGGCGAGACGACGGAGAAGCAAAGCAACGACGTGCCAGCGAGAGATAAGAAGAGACGAAAACGACACTAAAAGTAAAAGGTCGAATCGAAGCGTAATTAATGCTGCGCTTCTCTTTTTGAATTTTTGAGTTAATCTTAATCTGATGCGGTGGATGAGGATAGTTATGTCAGAAGAATCAAATTGTCGTTTATTACAATATGGCTGTCACGAGTCGCAGCGAGAACTGATGGGATGAGATCGGGTTAAGACCTTTTCGAATTTTTCAAAATTTTCTAACGGTATTTTCGTCAGAGGGCATATATTTCGTTACATCGTGGCGGATGCGGGTACACGACGTTCGCCCCGCACGATCCGACACAGGCGGGCCGCGTGCATGACCCTTTGAAATATTTACTTTAGATTTTTTTTATGTTCATTTTAGTTATATATAAGGATTTTTAAATTTTTAAAATTTCGTTAAAATGTTATGAATATTTTATATATTGAATAAACGGACCATAATTTTTGGGTTTTAAACAGGCCATTTCTTTACTCTTAAAATACATATTTTTGAAAATATTATACCTTTAATAAGATTGGAAAATATTTCTCTAATTGTCTAACTATTAAAGAATATAAGAGAAAAGAGAGTATTTTTTTATAGTAAATAGTAAGACTTAATCTTGTTCGACAGGGATTTTTTTCCCCATTTGGTGGTGGATGCCCACAAAAAAAAGAAAAGTACACATTCGGTGAAGCGCTGGGTCTGTTCTGTCCTAATGTTTTGGATCAAAGAAAAGAAGCTTCTCGAACGGATCCAAATATTCCTATACAAATTTAAAGTATAGTAATACTTTTTTATACTACACATAAAAAGGAAGTGTTTCTTTTTTAAAATCATAAAAAAGACTAAAAATTGAATGCAAGGAAAAGTCAAGGGATAATATTTATTAATTAATACTTGTAAGGACACTGAACATATCGATACTTACTAAAATAATAGATTTATTTATTTATTTATTAATTTTTACTTGTTAAAAATCTTTTTTTAAAAAAATTAAATTACTTCTAGGGTGTTTTTGTGATATTCTCCCAAAAATTAAAACTTTTATGGTTTTAGACATTTATTGATTGATGATGATAGAAAGCTTACTTATTTTACGTTAATAAATACTCTAACAATTGTCCTTGTCATTTTATTTATGTATATTACATTATACGACAACATTTGTATTAATTAAATAACATTGTTGACTTGGCTGTAGTATGAAGGAGCTGTGAAGGAAGATGGAAGGGGTCCATCAGTATGGGATACATTTTCACATACTTTTGGTAAGATTTTGTGATTGAAAAATTTATATTATTTAGATTTAGATTATATTTAGATTTGTTTGGTTCAATATATTAATGTTGATTAATCTAATAATTTAATGGTTAAATTATTCCCCTTACATACCTTTAATGTTTAATATTCATAAAATATAAAAAGAAACTCAGTTGTATCAGAGATACAAAAGAGACTATTTTGTAAAAATTATTAACATCAATTATTAATTTAACAAACCCAATCATATTAATGTGTTATGTGCTAAAAGAAGTCAATTGGAAATTTTTCATTGGCAAATAATTTGAAATAACTTTAACTTCATCTTAAATGAAAAGAGATAGCTTTCATCTTAATTATAGAGTAAAGTTTTAAAGTCTTGATTCTAAATATAAAGTAAAGATGCACTGGTCCATTTTTTTCCCAATATTGTCCTTCCTTGATTATATCAAGTTGTAATTTCTAGACTCATTTTATTGTATTCATTAATGTGAATGAAGTCAAAATTGGAAAGTTAAATATTTTTTTTAAATAATTTAAGGATTTTAACTACAATTCTTTAAGAACATCAACTTTGCTCTATAATAGGACTGGAAGTGAGGTCATCGCCCCAGTTATTTGTTTATCTTCTCTCCATTTTAACAGACTTTAGGATCTTCAACTTTAAGAAATCCGTACTCGGTTTTCTATTACTTCCATTGATGGGATTTGGACTTGATGATTGCTTATAAGTAACAACCTCAAGGCAGACAACACGACAGAGCAAAAATAAATACATTCTTGTTTCGCAAATGAAGCAGCAAAATAATTTCTTGATATTGAAATACTAAAAGATACTTGCTTTGTACTTTGTTGCAGGCAAGGTACTAGATTTCAGCAATGCCGATGTTGCTACAGATCAATACCACCGTTATGAAGTAAGTAATGCACGCGTGCGCTGTTCATGTAGTTCATATGGTATTTGTCAAAATGCACTTGTCAATGAATTTAAGATTTGAGGTCATGTAAAGCACTTTTAATGATGAACTTAAGGTGGTCCTGAAAAGCAACTGACACAGCTCAAATATTAGATTCATTATCATTCTCTTAACCCTTGGTGAGATTTAGTTCGTTACTGATCTGAACTTCCTTTGCAAGCAGGAAGATATACAGCTCATGAAGGATATGGGAATGGATGCCTATAGGTTTTCCATTTCTTGGACTCGGATTTATCCCAGTAAGCTTCCTTTTTCTACTTATTCTAATGAGGTGTAGTGGCAGGCAAACAAAGGTTGAGACGTATAAGATAACTCAAATGAAATCTTAATTAACAAGAATTTAGCTTAAAAGCTAACGATGCTATGCTATATGTTCATAAATTTGTGCTGAAATAATGGAGTTTCAATTGTTAGATGGAACTGGGCAAATCAATCAGGCAGGGGTTGATCATTACAATAAGCTCATCAATGCTTTACTGGCCAAAGGTAATTCTCCATAATATGACTCTGCAATGGATAGAATTTGCATAAAGATAACTAGCCCATGTTAAGATGTTTCTAATACTTCTTATTGCGTGGTTGATTACAATCGCAGGGATTGAACCATACGTGACCATCTATCACTGGGATCTTCCACAAGCCTTAGAAGACAAGTACAACGGATGGCTTAGCCCTCAAATCATGTAGAGCTTGTTATTTATCTTCTCAGCTTAACTTGGGATTTCACTTTGTTCTTACTCTGGAAAATTATAATATATTTGTATATATAAGCATACCAACATTTGTATGCTGCAGAAAGGACTTTGCAACTTATGCTGATACATGCTTTGAGAAATTTGGGGACAGGGTGAAGCACTGGATCACATTCAACGAGCCCCATACATTTACTACACAAGGTTATGATGTTGGTCTCCAAGCACCTGGACGCTGCTCTATTCTCCTTCACCTATTTTGCAGGGCTGGCAACTCTGCGACTGAACCTTACATTGCTGCTCACAACGTCCTTCGTTCTCACGCAACAGTAGCAGATATTTATAGGAAAAAATACAAGGTAAAGTCATGGAGGATATTAGAAGAACAAAATTGAAGGACTTTTCTTGAGTTTTATTCTTATCATTATCCTTTTAAAGAGTTCTGCTTAGGTCATGCATTTTCGTTATCATTTTAAAGGCAAAAACAAAGTGTAGATCTTAGTTTTAAGTTCTCCTTGAAAAGCTAGCTAGATATACTCAATGGTTTGGTTATTCCACAGAGTACACAAGGTGGATCACTTGGGATAGCGTTTGATGTCATTTGGTACGTGCCAGCAACATACTCCAAAGAAGACATTGAAGCAACTCAAAGAGCTCAGGATTTTCAGCTTGGCTGGTAAGTGATAGACATGGTATCTAATAATTTGTAAGTTTCATATTCTTGAAAAGAATGAAATAAGAGAGCGACTGAACCTTATCTAAATTTTTGAAATCCTTCACGACAGGTTTCTTGATCCTCTAATGTTTGGAGATTATCCAAGCTCAATGAGAAGTAGAGTAGGAAGCAGGCTGCCAAAGTTTACTCAATCTGAGGTTGCTCTTCTTAAGGGTTCATTAGATTTTGTGGGAATTAATCATTACACTACGTTTTATGCAAGAAACAATGCTACTAATTTAATTGGAGACCTACTCCATGATTCCATTGCTGACTCTGGAGCCATCACCTTGCGTAAGTTTTAAGGCTGAACCTTTATATTAAAGGACCATATTGCCTGATCAGAGAGTTTCTTTTTCTTTTTTCTTTCTACAACTGCCAGCTTGTTTTCTGTGTTCTCTTTGTTTTCAGCATTCAATGGTACCAAAACTATTGGAGAAAGGGTGAGTCCTATGAAGTGAATTATTTTTCTCTCTTATTTAGATCTCTAAAGAGAGCCCTGTCATTACTTCTTTTCAATTTTCCTACATTAGTTATTAGAGAGTTGAATTGACTGTTCCTTCAACACATAATCAGAACTTGGTCTTGGTTCATCCATGAACTGAATCCTCTTTTAGTCATGATGGAAATTTGTTAATTCTGACATGCAGGCAAATTCTATATGGTTGTATTTAGTGCCACAAGGCATGAGAAGCTTAATGAATTACATCAAACAAAAGTATGGGAACCCTCCTGTGTTCATCACTGAAAATGGTAATCTTCTAACACTAAAAGTAAAATAAAATTTCAGAAACTCCCATATCCCTTCAGATCATCACTTTTACATAATAAATGTGAGCTAAATCTCCCTCTCTTTCTCATGGTTGTCACAGGGATGGATGATCCAAATAGCCCATTTACCTCCATTAAGGATGCCCTGAAGGATGAGAAAAGGATTAGATACCACAGTGGCTATTTGTCCAGCTTACAAGCATCCGTCGCGTAAGTAAAACTCTGTCATCACTTTGTTGATTTGTGTAGCTGATTATTGCACAATCCATGCCATTTATTTAAAGCAACGAATCTGAAGGAGTTTTCTTGCTTGGTGATATCAGTGAAGATGGGTGCAATGTGAAAGGGTACTTTGTATGGTCCCTACTGGATAACTGGGAGTGGGCTGCTGGATACACTTCCAGATTTGGTCTCTACTTTGTTGATTACAAAGACAAGCGGAAGAGATATCCCAAACAGTCTGTACAATGGTTCAAGAACTTCCTGAAATCAGCCCATTAACAATACAGCTAATATATCAGTAAGTGATGGGACTATAACTTGCCATCCTCATACATAAATAATGGATGGGAAAACCTTATATGCATAGTCATATATACTCAAAATGTTTATTTCCAAATTCTAATTAAATCAAGACATGTAGATTTTTTATACATTATTTATTTCATAATAAACTCTTTTTATTAATATTATTAACACATTAAAATACATTGCTCTTAATTTGATTGGATAAAAGTGTATCAAGTACATAAGGCTAATAATTGCCTAATTAGTCCCGCCAATTTTAGAAAATATCAGATTTTATCACATCACATTTTAGTGTCTACACTTGTCAGCTTCAAGCCATAATATTTTGCAACCTGTACTTTTGAAAACTTTGATTTCACACTCAAGATGTCTAGAGTTCCCATCTACATTCAAGATATATATACAAATACTGTATGTATACCTTGGAATTTGGATTCTCCTTGTTGTGAGTGAGCACTTTGATTTCTCAAATACTTGGAGACCTATATATAAGATATTTGATTCTATGATAAATATGAAAATTTAAAATTTGTGTGTTAAATAACTAGGATGCTTAGTTGCTTACATATTGTATACCAAAGTATTTAGTTACGTCCGACTAAAGTTGATATGGGTGATATAATAGAGAGGCTCTTGTCACTTTAGCAAGCAATTAAGAGTTTGAATCACATTTTTTGTATGTGTGGTAATTTAATTTGAAGAGGTCTACCATTTATTTTTAGTACTTCAAAAGAGATAATCTTTGCTGTTGGTGGAGCCTACTCCCTATATTTACAAAATATATATATATATATATAGTCATCTTTTCATTGGTATAGGTTGGTATGCATTATTATTATTATTATTATTATTATTATATATGGATATTGAATGCCTTTTTTGTTTTTTTGAATACAGGAACAGGGGGATTTACACATATACAGTGAAGGTTTATTGTTGATTGCAGAGTAAAAAAATTAAATTTATTTTCAATTAGAAGGGATTATGATGATTATGATGTTTAGACAGAATGTAAAATCATGTCATTGTTTATAATTAGACGCTGCTTCTGCAGTTATGGGTGTCTTAAAAAATAGTGTGATGATGTTCCTTCAATTATCATTTTTTAGAAGATTTTATGAGTCATCTGATAGAAGAATGGTTTGAATTGTTATGTAATTCAAGTCGCCATTCAGAAATTTTTGTCTAACTCATCTAACTTAAGTTACCTAGCTAATAGGAAACGGAAGTAAGAATAATGCTAAAATAAGTTAGGATAATTACTTCGTAGCAATTTGAGGTCCATTGAAACTTCATATCAATATTTGGTGAAGAGAGAAAATGAAGAGAGGAGACAACTCATTTGGAGCACAATGGAAGTGAGCGTATGAACTCTTGCAAGAGTCAAAGCAACTTAAATGGTTGTTGGTCATGAAGTTAAAAAATACAACGACCATGATGCCCCTATCACTTTTAAATAGAATAATTGATTGCATATATGCTTTGTGAGTTGAAATTTTTTCCGAATATTCCATCATATTATAGTTTATTCAATAAAACTTAGTCTATTTCAAAATAGTGTTTAATATAACATAAAGATTACTTAATATTAACAATATTATATTGGTTATAATTTGTAATTAATTAATGCTTAATCCACAAATCTTCCAAAAGAAACACCTCATAAACCACGAGTTTAATCATTTGTAATTAAAACTATATTTTTTAGTGGAAGATCCAATTGACAAAAACATTAATTGATGTTTCGGCCGCGAAAAATGTTAAATGTTCTGTGTTATCAACTCATCAAATGTTTTATTCTATCTAATGAGTTCGGAATGCATGCAAACTAATAGCCAAACACACCCTAAATCATTCTCTTATGAAAATGCATGAATGTTAATTTACAATCATTATTCCATATATATCCGTGGCATTGTCATTTCCAAGCTCGTGTACCATATGCATGCAATTTCATAATTTCACACACACACACACACACACACACACACTCATATATTCAACATGAATATATATATATGTGTGTGTGTGTGTATGTGTGTATTTTCATGGCATGGTCATTATCAAGATATAAATTTGTAATTCCATTATTGCATAGTCATTAAAACTTGATGCATCCAGGATATAATTCAAGGTACATCGCTTTCCATCTACATCTAGTATTTGTTACCTTGAAATTTTGATTTTTTTTTTAACTGACTTATTGTGATAATGCTAGTGTATATATTTTACTTTTTATCTCGTGAAGTGTGATTATATTTACTATTTACTCATTCAATTTGATAATTCTTCATCTTCGTGTTACTCAAGTCGAATTCTTCATATTACAATGTTAATAATGAGTTAAAAAATTATTTAATATGTTTTTTTATAAGAAATTATTTAATGTGTTAATAATGTGTTTGCAGTATATATAAGGATAGGGCAAGACTTGTATATTTAGCCTTAAATACTTAATATATTTTTATCTAATTAAATCAAAATAACTAAATTTTAATGTGTTAATATATTAATAATAAGAATTTATTACATAATAAATAATCCATATATAATACATATATATTGATTTAATTAAAAATAAACACTTTAAATATATAAGACTAAATGTATAAGTTTTTTTTTTCCACAAACATACATATGCGAGTTAGAACTCTGATATCTTTTTATTTTTTTATTTTTCCTTTTTACCAACAACTTTGTTACCAGTATGAAGACCTCTAACTTGTTAATTGGTGATATGTAAGTGCCTTCACAAATATTCTTTAAATCACATGAGAGGTCATCATATATTTGCTGAGGATTCGAAAATTAATTTAACTATTTTTGCCTCACACGAGGGTACACGCACATATACATTTCCCTGTCCTAATTATAAGACAAGATTATAAAGTCATATTTGATTTTAAATACATGGAAAAGATGTAGCATAGTTATTTTTTTTTAATATTGCTTCTCTTTAATTGTACTGCAAACTTTTAATTCCTAGCCATATTTATCATGGTCGATAATTTTATTGAATGACAGACTTGTTAAATATTTTTACAAGTTTGAGGATGTTAACTATTAACTATTACTCCCTTCATTTTTTTTTATAAGAGAAACTATCACTTTTTATTTTTTTTATATAAGCAAAATTACTTATTTTAATAAGTATTTATTACACATTTTTCAAATCACCCCTCATAATTTACATTAACAAAAAAATAATTAATGCATATTTATATTGATTAATATAGGACATTCTAGTCTAATTTTTTTATTTCCAAACATAGTTATTATGGTTAACTAACTTTCTTAAATTATGTGATGCAATTTTTTCTCTTATATATAAACGGAGGGAGTATTTCATTCATTAAAAAATGTTAGATATTTTTAACCGAATCTCATTTTTTAATAAAGTAATTACTTATTTTTAAATTAATACTATCTTTTTATGTTCATCCTTATTTAATACTCCCTCTATCCCAAATTATAGGGCATTTTTAAAGGAGTTTTTTAATCCTAAAATATTAGACACTTTAGATAGATTAATATTTCATTAAATATATCAATTCCAATATTACCTGTTCTTTGTCTATGATTAATTTTTATCCTTTCTCTTTTTAATATATTAAATGATGGGTTTTTTTTAAAAGTTTATATTTTAGTTTTAAAAAGATGAGGTTATTAAGTATATTAAATGAGATTTATTGGTATGTGAAATTTTATTTAAAATTGTCTTAAGGACAAAGGAAGCAGAATATTTCACTCTAGAATAAATATGAAATGATTTATTCATTAGCAGCACTTTAAAAAAAAGTAATTATTACATCTTAAAACACTAAAAATATTTTATATTTTTTAATATCTAATCCCTTCTAATATTTTTGATAGGAGGGAGTATTTTTTAGGAGTTATGAAATTAATTAAGGGAAAATGACAATTAAGTCCCAAAAGACCAATTTTATACCAGTTAAGTCCCAACAAATTCTAAAAGGCCAATCAAGTCCCATGTTATTTTTCCCCAATCAGAATTACAAAGGAAATGATGAAAATGCCCCTATGAGTAAATATAACATGTACACTCATCATCTCCAACATTTCCCTCCCGATTTATCTCTTTGCCGCCATTAATGAGAGGTGCATGTAAGAGGTGGAGCTGTACGTTGAAGAGTACCCACTCCTGAAACAGAGTTATGCTTGGAAGAGGTGGAGTTGTCTTAATTATTGACTCAATAAAGCTTAAGGTTTTGTGCTGGTGCGTGTAGACAGGTATTTTTTTTTTGCAAATCCTTTCATCTGAACAAAAAGGTTTACTCCATGAAGGTCTAATTTCTTGCAAAATGGCTTTGGTAAGGAAAAAGATGGAATGGTTTTCTGCAACTGAACATGAAATTTTTTTTTTATTTGACGTTATAAAATATTTGGCATGAAGATTCGACATTTTGTAACTGAAAGTGTAAGAAATTATCATCGAGTGTCCATATTTTAAGATGAAAATCTGTCACTGTTTAACTGATGCGAAAATCACTTATGTTAAAAGTAACTTGTTTCTAAGTGATATATTATTACATTTTATTTTGTTTCTTGTAGGTTGATATTATTGGGTACGATGGAAAGTAGTTGTGTAAAGGAAATTTTTTGTTATTTTCATTTTGGTGGAGATATTGTAAAAGATATGCATGGGACAATGTGTTATGATGGGGGGAGCTGTAATGGAAGAATGATTAGAGAAGGAATGTCTCTTGAAGGACTTGTTAGATTGATTTCATCATGCTTAAATTGTGATTTAAATGGAATAGAGTTGAAGTACAAAGTAAAATTTGATTGCAATGCTCTTTTAGACCTTAAAGATGATGAAGGGATAAATCAATTAATGAAATTGAATGATAATTTTGCTCATGTGTACATAATTGGGAAGATACAGCAAAGTACAGAGGCAACAAGAGATTCAATTGATGGGTAAGTTTTTTTAATAGTTGCATAATTAATATTATGCTAATATAAATATGGATGGTAGTAATAAACATGATTTGAATGAAAATGCAGAGTAGGATGTTTAGCTGAGAATTCACATGCTACACAAGATTTTGAAGTTCTACCATGTGCAATACAAAGTATCCCAACACCAATGCCTGAGCTAAATGCAATAAAGTGGAAGGATTTGCTAGTAGGACCTGGGCAGATTTTTGCGAGTGCTGATAATTGTAGACAAGCAATCTACAAGTATAGTATTGCACACAGGTTTGAATATAAATTTGTGAAGAACAACACAAATAAAATAATTTTAGTTTGCAAGGCAAAATGATGTCAATGGAAGATAACAGCATATTCATTAAGGAAGTCTATGCCCTTACTTCGTGTAACAACTTTCAAGAATGAGCACTTACATTCTGCCCAAGAAGACCTTGAAGTTTCTTACAGTACAAGGTGCACACTGACTTCGTCTATAATTGATGACATAGTAAGGTCTAATGTGGAAAAAAGACCCAATGAAATCAAAGCTGACATATATAGAGACTATGGCATAAGTCTAACTTATCGTCAAGCTTTAAGAGCGAAAGAGAGGGCATTGGTGGAAATAAATAGGCTTCCTGACCAATCATATATGCTTGTTCCTTGGTTGTGTAATAGACTAATGGAGACTGATGCTGACACTGTAGCAAAGTGGGTGGCTTCTGAGAACAATAGATTTGAACGTTTATTTATTGCATATGGTTATTCCATTAAAGGATTCTTGCTTGGGGCTAGGCCTATTTTATATGTGGATGGATGTTTCTTCAGTGGTCCTTATCAAGGCACCTTACTGGCAGCTTCAACATACGATGCCGATAATGAGTTGTTTCCATTAGCTTTTGCAATAGTTGGGAGTGAAACTCATGATGATTGGACTTGGTTTCTTCAAAATATTAAAGATATCCTTGGTTCGCTACAGGTAACTATTGTTTCTGATAGAAATAATATTATTATTGGTGCTGTTAGAGCCATATTTGATGGTGATAGACATGCATTTTGCTATCGACATGTTAAGGAGAATTTTAGCTCTGAGTTTAATAAAGTTTGTAGGGAATGGGAAGGAACAGCAAAGAAGAGGCACTAAAGTTGCTTCATTACATTACCTATGCAAGGCATGAGCACGAATTTTATATAGCCATGGAAAATTTGAGGATGTTCTCTCCACAATTAGCAAGATGGGTTGAAAATCAAGGCGATGTTGATCGGTGGGCACTATCGTTGTTCCCATTTCGAAGATGGGATAAGATAACAACCAACTTGGCCGAATCATTTAATGCATGGATTCTTGAAGAGAGGAGGCATAATATATGTGTTCTTATAAATGAGCACAGAGACAAGTTGAGCAAGAAATTTTTTGCAAGTAAGGCAGCCATGAGTAAGTGAAAAAGCATAGTTGGTCCCAATGTTGAAGCAAAGTTGAAGGAAAATATTTTGAGGGCAGAAGTTATGATAGTTCAGCTGCATGGCTCACATATTGCATTGGTTCGGACACCGTGTGGAGATGTATGTGTGAATCTGATACTAAGGGAATGCACATGCAAAGTTTGGCAAATGTCTGGCATTCCTTGCCCACATGCTTGTGCAGCCATTAAAGAAATGCATGGTAATGTGTATAGCTATGTCGAGGAATGTTATCTTCGTAGCTTACAAGAGAAAATATACAGTGGCATTATGCATCCTGTTGAGACCCATGACATGCCAAAGCCAAATGCGTTGACAGTGTCTCAGCTCATGAACCAAACCTTTTTGCTGCCTCCTAGAACATCTCGACCAGCTGGCAGACCTCGTCATGTGAGGATCGAGTCTCAACATCAACAAAAGAAGGTTTATCATTGTTCTCGCTGCCATGAAGCAGGTCATACGAGGAAGAGGTGTAGAAATCCAAATCCAAGTTGATGTTATTGTAAATGGGTTAACACATGAACTTGGATTTGGGTGACATAAACATAATGGTTGTTTTAGGGGTTTTTTTTGGCATATAGCAGACCTTGTTTTGTAAATCTAAGTTGATGTTTCTATAACATGAGACTAGATCAACTTGAATTTGGTTGACATGTATAGGTTTATGTAGATATATATTAGTAGTATTAAGGGTTTTTTTGGTACATAGCAACCCTTCGTTTGTAAATCCAAGTTCATGTCTTGATGTATTTGGACAGCTGATATGTGCAGATGCATTAGATGAATTAATACATGTTTCTTACATGAACAGTTCATATCTTCTAGTTCGACGATCCAAGATTTCATGTACGAGTTGCCAATTTTTCGTAAGGAATTTGCAAAATTTGGCATCTAAATTGCAAAATACTTCCACGAATTCAATAGTTCTTCAATCCAAAATTTCGAGTAGTAGTTGCAAATTGTTTCTAAGTACATTGTAAAATTTGGATTCTCACTAGCAAATTACTAGAGCTTTGTCCTAAAGGATTTAACTCTCCAACGAATTTAATAGTTCTTCGTTCTAAAATGTAGAGTACCAGTTGCAAATTATTTCTAAGGGCATTGCAAAATTTGGTTTCTCACTTGCAAATTACTGGAGCTTTGTCCTAAAGGATTTAACTCTTCAATGAATTTAATAGTTCTTCGATCCAAAATTTGGAGTACGAGTTGCAAATTGTTTCTAAGGACATTGCAAACTTTGGTTTCTCACTTGCAAATTACTGGAGCTTTGTCCTAAAGGAGTTAACTCTTTAACGAATTTAATAGTTCTTTGATCTAAAATTTGGAGTACGAGTTGCAAATTGTTTCTAAGGACATTGCAAACTTTGGTTTCTCACTTGCAAATTACTGGAGCTTTGTCCTAAAGGAGTTAACTCTTCAACGAATTTAATAGTTCTTCGATCCAAAATTTGGAGTACCAGTTGCAAATTGTTTCTAAGGGCATTGCAAAATTTGGTTTCTCACTTGCAAATTACTGGAGCTTTGTCCTAAAGGAGTTGACTCTTCAACAATTTAATAGTTCTTCGATCCAAAATTTAGAGTACCAGTTGCAAATTGTTTCTAAGGAAATTGTAAAAGTTGGTTTCTCACTTGCAAATTACTGGAGTTTGTCCTAAAGGATTTAACTCTTCAACGAATTTAATAGTTCTTCGATTCAAAATTTGGAGTACCAGTTGCAAATTGTTTCTAAGGGAATTGTAAAATTTGGTTTCTCACTTGTAAATTACTGGAGCTTTGTCCTAAAATAATTACTTTGTTGAGAATTCATTACTTACCCCACCCAAAATTTTGACACACAGTTGCGACATTGGTTATATATAATTGATTTGGTTGCTTGTTCAGCTTGCTTGATAGTCACACCAAGTGTTTTATTTAGAAAATTGCATGATTCATTTGTTACATTGAATTGGATCACCATATGATTAAAGTAATATAAATAGCAGCCCGGCTGTATCAATTGGCAGGAAAAACATGTTATTTTAATTTGTTGAAAATAATAAGTATTAATTAGTACCTGTGATATAAAATCCAAATGGAGGTGTTGGCAATCTTGTTTACACAAAATCATAATTCAGTTAGGTAAAATGCATGTATGTGACCAAATTTTGATCAAATAACATGTTTTGGATACAAAATTAATCAAGCATATCCCACAAAGGCCAGCCTAAGTTTGCAGCCAAAAATTCTATTCTTATACGCCCTGCAATATATTGGTAAAAATATTCTTATAAGCCCTAAAATTTGGATACAGCTTCAAATTCAATTGAGCATATCCTCACTTGTACAAATTACATAGTCAACCTTCAGTTAAAACACGTGAGGGAAAAAATTGTAGAAGAGGCAATTTCTACAAATCAGAATGGTGAAAACATGTCACAGCCTAAAAATTCATCTATACTCCTTTCCTGCCCTCTTTGGTCGATTAGCTGCTGAGACAGAGGCAAATACTTCGTTTCTTACTTCATTTCTCATGTGATTTACCAGCCACCACACCACATCCACCCTAAATGTCTCAGTTGTTCCTAAAAAAAATATAAAGAAAGTTTAAGTTTCACATTGATAATTGGAAGAAAAAAATTAGAAAGATTATGGATCACATATACATACGTTTGAAAAGTCCTCCATGGTCAGTCCTCCTTTTCTTCTTCTACCATCCCATTCTGTACAGTACTTTATGACATATACCCCACAATCATCTCTACAAATATGAGCAATTAAGGTAAGGCAAATTGTCTACTAGAAATGAATACATTAAAAGGTACTTGTTTTCATAGATAGTTACTTACACATTACTCTGTTTGGGAAGTTCTTCAAATATCATCTCCATCTGAAAATCCTCTCCATATTTCTCCAGGTCACATGCTTGTAACAACTCAATTATGCTAGTTCTCTACAAATAGTTCCAGAGTTAGATAACCATTCCCATGTAAAAATTTAAGTCACCTAAAGTAGTTATGCAAAAGTACTAATAAAGCATACCATAAATCCGGCCATCATCTTCTTCTCTTTAAATAACTTCCCAGCCAATGAATCAAGGATGAAAAATTTGTCATTTTTCAAATCAGCACAATAACAAAACCAGTGATTGAACACAAGCATGGGCAAGAAGAGGTAATCACAATTTCTAAGGTTATATCCAAGTTGATCTGGCATGAGCATCTTTGCATCCTCAAAGACAGACCATCTTAACTTTTTATCCCTTAGGGTGGCCATAAATTCTGAATCAAATATGTACCTCCGTACCTTCCCTTCACGAAGTTGCTCACTAACCATCACTTTTGCGACCATGCTCATGACCTACAAGGATCACATCCAACACTCAATGTGCTATCCAATTAAGCAACTAATGAATTAAAACTATTAGACATACCGCTGTACTTATCCATTTTTTAGGACCAAGACTTTGGCATTCGGCCCTAGTTAAGTAGTAATCGTACATCTCAACGACACACCTACCAAAAAAATGTGTTATTATATCAATCATAATGCACCATGATTATCGAAAAGTAATATCACATTACTTACTCTTCACCCTCTGCTTGATTGGTCCACCTAGTGCAATATTCATATATTTATTGTTTTTTTGTAGTTCTCCCTTGTATTGGTTCTTTCAAAAAAGGTGACCAATTTACCTTAACCCTTTTCCTCTCAGACCTTCGAACCATTAGGCTTTCATCTATTCTCCTCCTCTTCTTACCATCTTGTCTTTCATCACTTTCTTCCTTACTATTGGAGCCTTCATCTTCATCTTCTTTAGATCCAACTCCAGCTGCAGTTTATGTCCATCGTCATCCTCATCCTCATCCCCATCTTCATCCCCAGCTTCATGTGCATCTTTAGCTTCGTCTTCGCCCTTGTCTCCATCTTCATCATCTTCTTCAGCTTCATTTTTATCTCCATAGTCCCCTTCCTCTACTTCTTCTTCACTTGGTTCGCCAACCCGCATGATAGCTTTACTATCAGATATTTGAAGCTGGTTAAGACTTTGTTGCAACTTCAGCACTTTACTTGCAAATGTATTAGCATATTGCAAAAAGTCTTCATATATCTCCCTCACACCCTAACCAAGTTTCAACACCAAGCTTATTAAGTAAGTGAAAACCAAAACATAGACAATAAAGTATAAACATTTATATACCGGGTGAGTTATCATTGCAAGTGGAGGTAAAACTTCAGACACTTCATTAGCTTGACCACCGTAAAGAATACCATGGATGCTTTCTTTTTCCAGCTTAACCCATTTCTGCACCATGTGTTGGTTCCACAAATGCATCACAGGCGTTCCACCATCTATTGACGGTGTTGGGCCTAATGGAAAGTGGTGCATGTAAAATATCTGCACCACAAGGATAATTATAATCTAATCAATAACAAATAAACTGGAACAAAATATAGAAGGATTTCAAATAGACTATACCAGTAAAAAAATAAGCATCCTCCTACATTCTTCTTCTTTCGTCCACTCCTTAATGCTGTCTTATAAGTCGAAATTTCTCTAATAAGCTCCGACAACACAAAAGATGACCAATCATATTCTTGAACATTTTTCTTCCCACTCAAACTTTTAATACTCCTCATACTAACAGTTGTACTTGTTGTGGGACAAAGAAATGTTCCTAAAGTGAATAACAAAAACACCGTTTCAAAATTTTTTTCAGCCTTGCCGGATATTACCAGACTCTTCAACTCAGTGAAGGGTTTGCCAAGATAATTCTTCTTTAATGCTTGACATGCTTCGCTGTTATCATCTAAAAAAATAGCTTTCCCACCATAAGGCACACCTAAGATAGTGTGCACATCCTTTCCATCAACACTTAATTTCTTCCCTCTAATTCCAAGTGTTGAGGTTGGTGTGTCAAAAGCAGCAATTACTTGTTCACATAACTCTCTGAGTAGTTTATTAAATTTAAAATCCAAGAGAGATTGGAACCCCATTTTCTTGACCTTAGTACATAACTTTTATGTTTGGATATGTATTCCACAACTTCCTTGAACTGGCCAGGAGAGCAACGCGTATTAAATGAAACCTACAAATCAAGAAGAATAATATAACACCATACAATGCATAACAACCATACTAAAAAACCTCATTAATTTAAAATAAATACAAGTTAGTGATACCGTTGCCGTGGAACAAGATGCTGATTCCTTGCCTCGTCCATCTAACGAAGCCATGTTTCTATATCTTTCTTGTTCAGCATTTGATAATTTTCGCCAACTTTCTCTCATTGAGTCATTAGCTTCTATAAGACCACTGAATCTTCCTTCATTTTTTTAAGAAACTCTTTCTTAAAGTTGTCGTATCCAGACTTCTTTTTTGTTGTAGCTTTCTTGTTGTCCATAGTTTCTTAGTTCTTTGTGCCCTAACAAACAAGCTTCCCACCTAATTATCACCGATGCAAGTCCTAAAAAAAAACTGGTTAAAATTAAACCAATAAATTGAAAGAAAGTAAGCAGAAACAAGCAGAATTTTATTAATAAAGCCTAACAACTTTGCTCATGGTCAAAGGGCACAACAAACATGCATGTCCACAAGAAGAGAGAAGCTGAACTTTTGCAAAGAGAAATTGAGAAAAACACAAACAAGTTTTGGGCAATAAAGATTGCACTAACAAAACCTAGAAAATTACCTTCTTTTCTTGACAGCTAAAAAAATGTCTCTTTTTGCAATAAATTCCCAAAACTATTTCTTTTTGCGTTAAATTCCTAATCCAAAAAAGGATCTTCAGTAGGATAACCACTCACAAGAAACAAGCATAAAAAACGCACCTTAAGTTACAGGGAGTGGGGTTTTTTTTATGTTGGTGGGGGGAGAGGCTGGGTCCAGGAAGAAAGATGAAGATAAATTCACTGAACTACTCATGAAAAAACAAAACAGATTAATACAGATACATCTGTACGGAATTGCCCAGAAGAAGTGAAGCAGATTGAAAATTTATTTCCACCCATTGAACATTAAAATATTTGCATGCATTGGTGAAGAGAACTTAAATATTGTCAGCATTTCCATTGATTGAAACATTATTTGCAAAGAAGAAGCACAACAGATTTGCACAGCCAAGCATCAGTAAATTGTGCATTGAAATGAAAATCATTGCTCCACACAAATGTAATATCTAAAGAGAACAACTATAATCACGTCATTCAGCCCATTATGCCCAATTCCTTCAAATATCATTGAGGATTCATACTACCCAAAGTCTACTCAGATCAGGTAAATTTCTTCATGGTCAAATCGGTAGAACGGAAGTTTCTTTTCTTGATCATCCCCATAGGCATTCGATTTCTAACATCATTAATCCTTTAATCTTCAATAACCCTTCTACAACTTCTACCAAATAATCAACAACACTAGTAAGCATTTAACCACCATCATTAACACAACTCTTCTTACAAACTTTAAAAAAAAAATCTTAATTATCATTTTGTCTAACAATTTCCCTTTAGATGTTGCACAATTTTAATAGGTAGATTAACTTTACAATTTATGTACAAACATAAACTTTCTTAGGTAGCATAGATAACTCCTCAAGGTTCTACTATGAAAATTAAACAATCTCATTTTCATCAACTTCTTTCAAGCCTTCCTACAAATACCTTGAGAGCATTTATCATTGACAAATTTGTGAGATGAACAACTAAGCAATTCCAACAACTCTCAAGCTTTTACTTTTATTAACCAAATTTAGTTCACTATCATGATAGAATAACATCAAAGATTAACACTAGTAAGCTTTTACCATTCACTCTGCAGTCTCTATTGTCGTCTGCAGATCAAATGAGAGGTCCAAATATTCTAAACTTAGTTGCACTGGAACAGACTCGTTTACTTGCAAGTGCATTGGCACAAAATTGTGACCCTAAATTTCAGGTTTACCTGCTTCTCATGACTTCAATATTTTAGTATTTCTTGGGCATGTAAAACATGTCAATGGAAATATTCAGAGTCAGACAGCCATTGATTCTAAATTTATGTCAAATTAGAAAAGTTTATCTTAAATAAATGCCGTAGGCAGCATTGTCTTCTTCTTGATAATAGTTAAAGGTACAGTCCGTGTTTTCATTGTCATTGACCGTTTGTTTGCCAAGCTCTTGCAATTTAATTCATCAAACAGTGTTCAATATCTTATACGAGATTAAGATAACACGATTGTGGATCAGCAAGTAGTTTACAATGAAGGGGAAGAGGAGAGCTTCAATCTTTTACATACACAAGAAGAAAGCAGACCAAACTTTTAGCCAATCAGCCAATACACATACACAAGCAGGACTTCAACAACTGAAAAGGAAGGAAAAAAGAAAAACTGAACATGCATATACACACACCTCTAATAGCGTGAAACAGAGCAGGAAAGAGGAAGGGATTCAGCTACTTCCACCAGAAAAAAATGAACGTCCAGCTCAGGGATCTAGGTCTTCAAATCCCAACAAACAATAAAGGCAAAAAAATACAATTTAGGCATATAAATCCGAACCTTAACAGAAAAGACCTCGCCCCTGGCTCTCCGTTGCCGTTATCGCCAAAATCTTGGCCCTCGCCACTGATTTTCCCTCACCTCTGTCACTGCCGCCAACGTTTCCCTCTTCTCCTTCAAGTGTTCAACTCTCAGTTGCCGGCTACGTGTGCTGCCCCCAAAAAAATCACTCTCCCTTGGCCCAACCAAGCCCTCGTTCACCGTATGGATCAAAGAATGCAGACCTAGAGAATAGAGCTTCGCGTCGCACAGAGACTCGTTCGGGCAGAGAAGAAAATGAGCTTTTACTTGAAGAAGGGTGTTTCGGTCTTTTCCTGTGACATCAAAATATCACTTAAGGATCTTGGGACTTGATTGGCCTTTTAGAATTTGTTGGGACTTAACTGATATAAATTAATATTTTGAGACTTTATTGTCATTTTCCCACTAATTAATTTTACCTTGTAATAACAAAAGAGTGTGTGCGTGTGTGTAGTATTGAAGCATTGGCTTAAAATTTAAGCATGTGAGAATATGAAGTCAGAAAAGAGGGCATGATTTTGCATGATGAGCAACTCATGAAATGACATGGAGCCAACCGTGTTGTGGTCCAATATTCCATTATTTGTTGACTGATTACTTAATTGAGCTTAGTTGAATTACAATTTGATGAACCTGATCAACAATCATTACCATTGCCTTTTTACCGCCACATCTGTGGCTATTGGGCCCAACGTCAAACCATCTTTGACACGTCCTTCCTTGTCTCCGTCCTTTTCTAGGACTCATGTCATGCACCATCACAAAACGTCACAAACACTTTAAGATGATTTTGTTTTAGTAATATTTTATTTGCTGAATAAATTTATATAAATTATTTATATTTAAAAAAAACGTGTCGGTCGACTTAATTAATACTAAATTCAATGAAAGGGTGTCGAAGAAGCATGTTGCCGTTACATCAATAATGAAACCACAGACAGAGACAAATAATAATAACGTGATATGATATATAATTTCTTTTGGTAGCCCCAATTGTTAATATCATTTATCTTCCATCCTACTCAAGTTTTCTTTGAAGGCACATCCTCTAAATAAGATTGAATATTCAGATTCTAATAGTATTTAAATATACTAATTTGATAATATTATTAAAAAGAAGGGGCAACTACGTCTACTTGCATGAAATTGATACATATCATATAAAAATAAATCGTACGTACTTGAAAACATACAGACCTATTCTTCTTTTCTTCTCTTCATGTGACATCATCATATTCATTACTTGCTCCTGAACGTTAAAGCCTCGTTGTCTCTTTATGATATTTAATATTGAATCAAATAACAACCCTTCAGCTTTATTCTTATTAATATTGTAATAGAAGCTTCTCCATATATTTGTTGATATGATTTAATTAATAGAGATCAACTTAGTAAATTACAAATTGTTGTATTTAGATATGTTATGTTGTTCAAATGTGAATGGATATAAAATGATATAAAATGTCTCACATTGAATAAAGTTAGATTTAATAATTAATATAAAATAAAGAGAAAAGACTCATAAACTTGAGCCATAAAATTTTGAGTTAAGACATGATGTTCTTTCATAGCTCTTGCCCCATCTCTCCTCTTCTCCCATTCCCAAACAGTCGATCCTTATTCCTAATAATACCGATACACAACCATACATGATTTAAGTTTACCTAACTTTTGATCAATTCTCATATTGAGCAATTTTTTATTGTAACTGGACCTGATTCAGGATCGATTCAACAGTCAAATCAGTTAATTCAATTCTCAAAACATTATTTAAAACTTTTAATTTAATTAGTAAAATATGGATGAAAAACAAAATAAATTACAGAGCATTGGATCACACTCGTTCAACTAATGCAGGTTGTAAAAAGTTCAATTTATTTTGGACGACATTTAAATACATGGAGCTTCTGCTAATTAATATTACATCCAGTCCTACTTCATACATATTAAAAAATATATATAGTTATTTTTCAAATTGAATTTTTTTTAACAAGTTCATCCTTGATGATCATGTTTCTCTCAATTTACTTGTTGATTTTCAAAATAAGAATTTAATTATAAGTATATGTAATTGTGAAAAATAAATATTTAATGATACAAAGATGACTTATATTTTAGACCATAGAGCTTATACTTGGAATAGAAACTAATATAATATTTTAACATGCAACTTGAATTTTATTCTTTAGTGTTATTAAATAAAATTTTAAACGCAACAAATTAATGCATGAGGCTAAGACACATTTCCAAAGCACGTGAAAATATTAACTCAGAACTTATAATTGATGTGATATAATTAATTAATTAATTAATTAATTAATTAATCATCAAATAAATAATAAATAAATAAATAAAATAGTGTGTGGCAGTTAGTAGTGTACGATCATGGAGGGTCGCAAATGACAAGAGAAAACGTGAAGTGTACATTGGTAGTAAAGCATTTTTCGCGGGTTCCATGTTACTGGCATATATAGGAGCTGGTCTTCCTTCTTTCTCGGCATCACAACCTCCTTTCTTCTTCACTACCTTCTTATTCCTCTTCTTCTTCCTCCTCTAGATCAGATCTACATATCAATACTGCATTCAAGGTACTTTGATTTGCTTATGTTTGATTAACAATATGATTTTACTTTCTTTTCTTGTACTGTTGTTTGGCTTCTCACTTGAACTAGGTTTCGCTTGTGCTGCTTCCCATCACCTGTCTTTCTTTCTTCGTCATTTGATTCGTGCATTGTTGTTTCAATTTGAACTGGCTTTTGTTTTTGTTTAATGTTGATGCATTGCACATGATCATAGTGAAATTGTTTGTTTGTAGAGATGTTTGCTAGCTGATTTCGCGTAAATTGATGTAGATCTGTGAATTATTGAATTTATTTTGGGAATTCAAACTCCGCAATCTGTCTCTCGTTTAGTGTCTCTACGTACATGAGAGCATGTAAACAGAAGATGGATGAGCTTAAACATAGCGCATGTAACTTCTGACGAAATTTATAGATCTCCTCTTCTGTGTAACGAACATGTAATTCTCAATAACCCTATGTTCAGCAATACTCCCAAAAACTTCAGTATCGCAAAGAATGTCCTCGTTAAGGAAGATTTATCCCCATTTGAAGTCTTTGGATTGTTGTACTTCGATACCTAATATAATCACCTTTTAACAGGAAATGTGAGTTTCTTGAAATTGACCTTGCTCTCTTGCAGGCTGCTGGGAAGAAACAAAAATGGTGAAGATTTGTTGCATTGGAGCTGGATACGTGGGTGGACCCACAATGGCCGTGATTGCCTTGAAGTGTCCTGAGATCCAGGTAGCTGTTGTGGATATCGCCACCGCACGAATCAATGCTTGGAACAGTGACCACCTCCCCATCTACGAGCCAGGCCTTGAAGAAGTGGTGAACCAGTGCAGGGGAAAGAATCTTTTCTTCAGTACTGATGTGGAGAAGCATGTTGCAGAGGCTGACATAGTCTTTGTCTCAGTGAACACACCTACAAAAACTCAGGGTCTTGGAGCTGGCAAAGCAGCTGATCTCACCTATTGGGAGAGTGCTGCAAGGATGATCGCTGATGTTTCCAAATCTAACAAAATTGTGGTTGAGAAATCAACTGTTCCTGTGAAAACAGCTGAGGCAATTGAGAAGATCCTTACCCACAATAGAAAAGGCATCAATTTCACAATTCTGTCAAACCCAGAATTTCTTGCTGAGGGTACAGCAATTAAAGACCTTTTCCATCCTGATCGAGTCCTTATTGGAGGCAGGGAGACCCCAGAAGGTGCCAAGGCTATACAAGCTTTGAAAGATGTTTATGCCCATTGGGTCCCAGTTGATAAAATCCTTTGCACCAACTTGTGGTCTGCTGAACTCTCAAAGCTTGCGGCCAATGCTTTTCTGGCACAAAGGATCTCTTCTGTCAATGCCATGTCAGCACTCTGTGAGGCTACTGGAGCTGATGTCAGCCAGGTGTCACACGCCATTGGCACAGACTCCAGAATTGGACCCAAATTCTTGAATTCAAGCGTTGGTTTTGGTGGATCTTGCTTTCAAAAGGACATCTTGAACTTGGTCTATATCTGTGAGTGCAATGGCCTTCCTGAGGTTGCAACTTACTGGAAACAGGTAATTAAGGTGAATGACTACCAGAAAACTCGGTTTGTGAATCGAGTGGTTTCCTCCATGTTCAACACTGTCTCAGGTAAAAAAATTGCCATTCTGGGATTTGCTTTCAAGAAGGACACAGGTGACACAAGGGAGACACCAGCCATTGATGTGTGCAAGGGGCTGTTGGGAGACAAGGCTCGTTTGAGCATATATGATCCACAGGTCACTGAAGAGCAAATCACAAGGGATCTGTCAATGAAAAAGTTCGATTGGGACCATCCTGCTCATCTTCAACCATCAAGTCCAACTTCAATCAAGACAGTGTCTGTGGTTTGGGATGCCTATGAGGCAACAAAGGAGGCTCATGCTGTTTGCATTCTGACTGAGTGGGATGAGTTCAAGAAGCTTGATTACCAGAAAATTTATGACAATATGCAGAAGCCTGCATTTATATTTGATGGTAGGAACATCGTGGACGTTGAGAAGCTCAGGAAAATTGGGTTCATAGTTTTCTCTATTGGCAAGCCCCTAGATTCTTGGCTCAAGGACATGCCTGCTGTGGCATAAAAGGGGGCTGCCACCACAATCTGCAACGGCTTTTTAGGTTGAAGTTATTGACTTTTCGGGGGAGTTGATTGTCCCTGTCTGATATATTAAGCGATTTTTTTGTAGTTAGATTTCTGCTGCTATTGTCTCTTGTCATTACTTTTATTTGATCAGTGCCCTATTATTTGTTGTTTTGGTTTCATTAAATAAATGAGCTACTCCATAAATTTTATGGAAATACAATTTTTGCTTTTATTCTTTCACTAACTTCCTCTCTCATGATCTTTGTGTGAATGATAGACAGCATATTGGCAAGAAATGTTCATTTTTTATACCCAAAAGATAATTTTTTTCCTTAGTGAATAGAAAAAAAATTGTAATAGAAAGAAAGAGATTAATACAGGTGATGGATGATGGGAAAAGATTTGCTTTTTGTACACATTAGTTTGCATTATCTTCTGTTAGTTCATTAATATAGTTACCATATTTATATTCCCTTAATTAAAAAAATATAAAGCATTTTTAACTAAATTTTAGCCCCTCAATAAAGTAATTACTTATTTTTAAACTAACTTTATTTTTTTATATTTATTCCCATTAAAAACTTTACAATATAAAATTATTTATTAATAGGGATGCTTAAAAAAAAAGTAATGATGACACTTAAAAAAATAAAAATATTTTATATTTTTTAACATTTAACTCTTTAAAAAATATTTTATATTTTTAACGGAGAAAATAGAGATTAAGACAAAATATGAGGACCAATATTTCATGAGTGATGGGGACAATGCCAAATGCTTAACTAATTACTATATTGTAAGCATTGTAATTTACATATTTTTAGGTAAAATTTACTATGTTCGTGTATTGCTCGCTTTATATTACGATGCATTCTCTCTGTTTTTTATTATAAAAGAAACTGTTACATGCATTCTTTGTTTATAAGCAAAATTCAAGAAACATTTATCATATTTTACTCATATTACCCCATATGAAATCAAAATTTATTTTCATGACATACGCTTATTTCATTAATCACATTGATAATTTAATAGAATTTTTTAAATTTTAAACATTATTATTATACTTAACTAACTTTTTTAAAATGGAATTGTTGTCCCTTTCCAACAAATCATTTTTGGAACTCTCACAAAAATCTCGACACTTTTTCTTCCCTTTGGGTTATGGTGATTATAGATTTTGAAAAGACACCTTAAAACGTTATATTGTTTAATATAAAGTTGTTTAAATTCATTAAAAAAATTCCATTTTGATTCATATGAATATGCATAAACTTGAATAATACAAACTTCAAATATAGTTATACACTTTCTAATAATCATACTCTCAAACTACTCCTAAACTTTCTAGCATGTGACCAAATGTTAAATGTTAAATCTTCTCAACTAGGCCTCTATGCATGTGTATGTAAATGATTTAGAAACTTGTCAATCAGTTTGGCAGCTACAAACAAGTCTCTCCCACGTCACTTGCATAATTATTACTCATTTCGTTTAAAAATATAAGACATTTTAATTAAATTTCATTCCTCAATAAAGTAATTATTTACTTACAAACTAATCATATTTTTTTATATTTATTCCTATTAAACACCCTACGATAAATATAAAGTCATTCATCAATAGGGGCACGTTTGAAAAAAAAAAGTAATCATTACACTTCAAAAGAATAAAAATATCTTATATTTTTTAACACTCAATTTTTAAAAAATGGCTTACATTTTTGAATGGAGGGAGTATGCAATATAATGGTAAGCAGAAAAGTATTTTGCAGAAAGAAAATAAAAAAATAATACATCTCGCTCTTTTTTTTATTTCTCATTTTATTTTTTAAAAATATTTTTTTAGTGTAATAAACATGCAATTAAACTTTGCCCATAGATTTGCATGCAAGAAGTTTGCTTATGCCAATGTCAAGCATGTCGGCAAGAAAAAATCCCAATGCTAAACATGAATCCTCCTCATAGAACGCCTTCCTTGTGATCTCTAATAACACCATAGCAGCCCACTTTCCTTTATTTCAATCCATCAGCCCGGTCCACATTTTGATTTCAATCCTACAAATGTAATTTGGATCAGATAAAAAAATACGGGAGAAAATTAACTTACTAGTGAAACTTATTAAATCAAAATAAAAAATAAAAATATGAAAACTAAATATTAATTTAGGCAATTACAAGTTACAAAAGGCCAATCTTGAAAACCTGTGTCATAATGAAAGAATAAATTAAAATAATAATAATATAATAATAATAATTTATTAGAGAAAATTAATGATTTGATCCCTGTAGTTTTGATTTAGTTGTATCTTAATTTTTGAACTTTAATTTTTTATAACTCGATCATTGTAATTTTGATTCGATTGCAATTTAATTTTTAAATTTTAACTCGATGCAACTCAATTCTTATAATTTTAATCATTTAAAATATTAGTCCTTATATCTTGAAAATAAAATTTTAAAAATTAAAATTATGTTAACATTTAGGGACCAATATTTTAAATTACTAAAATCTTTAATTTGATAAAAATTATTTTTAATTTTATTTTTAAAATATAGAAACTAATATTTTAAATAGCTAAAATTATAGTGATTGAGTTGTAATGAGTCAAAATTTAGGGATTGAATTATAGTAAAGTCATAACTTTAAAAATTAAATTACAATAAGTCAAAATTTAGATATTAAATTATAAATAAGTTAAAATTATATGAACTAAATGATTAAGTTTTTCTTATTATTATTATTATTATAGAAAATTGAGATGTAAATAATTTTGAAACTGGGCCGGTTTGCCCATCAGGCCCAATTCTAATTTAGGCAGGTCAAACCTCTCCCCACAAAACCGTTTTTGTTTTTTTTTTTTTTCGGACCATCTCGTGTACAAAAAGCATGCCGTATCTCGACCTTCATCGCCTACCTCGCGCGATCTTAGTCTCTTCGATTTTTGATTCGCTTCTAATTAGCGCTCTTCTAAATTCTAAACCTTGAATCGGGCCACGACTTCGTTCGATTTTCGTTCTTCTCTTTCGTTTGATCCCAAATACGACTCCCTTGGTCATCTTTACATATTCTAGGTTTAGGGTTTCGATTAGGTTCCCGAAGAGTCTGTAATCGTCTAATCTCTTGTACGTTTGATACATATTTTTTTGTTTCGATTTGCGTTCATCATATATCTCCTTCTGATTTCACATAATATTCCCTATCGCTCACGAATTTAAGGTTTCGAAGCGCGACGTTTTAGGGTTTCTCTTTCTGTAAATTTGTCTAGAATTCTTTAAATTGTTTGAGGGGTTTGACTCCTTTCGTTCGTCTCCGGCTCTTTCGCCCTCTTCTGGGTTCTAATTTCGCGCTTTGCACTGTTGGTTGATAATCTAGGGTTAGGGTTTCAAACATATTAGGGGTTTCTTAATTTGGTGAAATTGAGTTTGGGGATACAGGTCCTTGACGTGGAAAAACCGCCTTTGGTGTGCAATTCCTTATCGATTTGTCTTTAATTAGATTTTGAGTTTTCCCTTGGACCTTAATCTGCCCTCCCAAGTGCTGCGTTGACTGTTTGTCATCACTGAATTTTAAGGAGCTGAGAAGGTGAGAAATAATTTTTCATCACTATTGATAGTCCCATTCTTATTATTGATTTAGCTGAGAATGAGTTGTTGATTAGGATGTATGTGGCTTTTCTTAAATGTAAAGTTTATTATGATCATGATGGTTAATGAATATGTATGTATTCTTAAAAATTGTTACATGTGAGGTGAAATAGGCATGAAAAGTAAAAAGGTTAATTATAATGTTGGATTCTATGCTGCGTAATGTGATGCTATTAATTTAAAGACATTGAAGTAATTGGCAAGGTGATCAACTGTAAATTGAAAATATTTTCCGAGGGAGAGATGCAACCAGGCCTAATGTTTGAGAAGATAAGCAATTAGTGGCTTGAACTTTTTTGTATTGGTATAAACTCTTAATTTTTCCTTTGCAGGATCAGAATGGGATTTAAACGGTGTTTTGAGGCCAATGATTTTGAGGATCTTCCTTGCAACAAGGCAAAACGTTTGGAATGCATTGATAAGCTGGTTTCATTTGCTGATGCGGATACTCTCAATAATGGTCCAGTGAAGCCTATTGCTTCAGGTGAATGGTGTTCTTTGGTCATCTAAATTTAACTTTTTTCTTAATGTTAATTCAGTGAAGCTATTGTGATTGAAATGTTATGCCACCAAGTTGAATTATAATTATAAATTATAAATGATGAACATTCTTCATCTGTTACTTAGGGAAAGATGAGGATGGCTTTTACAATATTCAGTGGTATGATGCGGTTGAACCAGAGACTCTCACTGGAGCTGCACATGCTGGTGAGAAGGATATTGAGACCGGTGGCAATTTCAGCAGCAGTTATGGTGAGGATGGTTCTGGCTCTGGGGGAACATCATTGTGTGCTTCTTTAGATTCCTTCGAATTTGATTTTCCACAGAAAGCAAGTGTTCCTTTGGATGATGCCTATTCAGTTCCCAATAGTTTCCCAAGAAGACAAGTTCCTGTTGGACCAAATCATCAAGCCACCATTCCAGTCTGGAAGGGAAGAGGGAATGGGATATCAGGGTCAACAGGCACCTATAATGTTTATGGCTATGAAGAGAAGTTGATGGGGACTGCTGTGATCTCAATGCCCAACCCGAGCTTCTATTCTTGTGAGAGTGACGGGGATGAAGAAGGCAGAACAGAATGCAACTGCGTGGATAAGGATTCCATCAGATGTGTTCAACAGCACGTTCGGGAAGCACGTGAAAAGTTGATGAAGACTGTTGGAAATGAAACGTTTGTGAACCTGGGGTTTGGTCACATGGGAGAGGAGGTTGCACTGAAATGGAGTGAAGAAGAAGAAGATTTATTTCATGAAATTGTATACACGAATCCTGCAACATTGGGTAGAAACTTTTGGAAGCAGCTGTCAGCTGCATTCCCTTCTCGAACAAAGAAGGAAATTGTCAGCTATTATTACAATGTGTTTATTCTTCGGAGAAGGGCTGCTCAGAACAGATCCAGATTTCTTAATATTGACAGTGATGATGATGAATGTCCACCAAGCAATAATGTGGGCTTCTATGGTTTCGAAGTTTCAGAAGAAGACGACTCTGCTATTGAGTCTCCTGATGATCAAGATGTCCATGTTGGAAACCAAGTTAATTATTCTGATGATGATGGTGAAGATGATAACAGTGACAACGGAACTGATGGTGATATCACTGGTATCAGTGGGTATCACCAGGGAAACAGCACTGACTCCAGCTCACAGGTTGAGAGCTTGTCTGAACCTGTTCAACAAGTCAATGAGACTCTGGGGATATCAATTGGTTCAGGTGTTCAGGATGATTCCTGCACGTCCTTTGAGTGTCAGATCAATATGGACGAGTCCTTCCCCTCATGTGGTCATGAAGATGCTAGTTCTGCTTTGCAAGCTAGTGGATTTAAATGTGATCAGAGCCCACTCATGCCAGGTATACTTGATTTCTCCAGTGACACCATGGAGCGTGTTTATTTCTCAGAGCCTTGTGATGCTAACGATTGGTACCCAGGGTACTCCACCGGTCCGTCCTCTGATATTGACTTCTCGGCCACATCCAAATTAATTGAAGAGTTTTTGGGTCAAGTTACTCCAGATCGAAGGACCAAAAATGACTGACTTATTAGCTCCTGTGGTTCTTATTAGCTACAGGGTGGTGTTTCTTATTAGCTACAGGCTCAAGTTGGTTGAGGTTGCCATTGAAGATTTTGGAGCTAATGGTCTGTTATGGGCAGTGGTTTAGTTGTAAAATACAAGTGTACTTGGCTGGAAAGCTTTTTATTTCTCTCTTTCCCTGGAGAAAATTTCTCTCTTGTATCAGTTGAGGCGCCAAATCTCTCTGGTGCTTCAATTTCAGAACATCACCAAAGAATACCAAATCTCATGAGGCATGTTCTGAAATAGTTTTCCCAGTTATTTTCTTTCTTGTTAGCGGGGGTGACGAGGGAATGACAATACATTTGGCTATAACTGTATATATCCGACTGGACACACCATTCCCAGAAATCTTGGTTTTCACCCTCCAGTGTTTATTTTTATTTACATTATTTCCAAATTTGTATTTTATTTTTCGGGGGAAGCACCGAATTTGTATGATAATGGAAGGCTGTAAGATCAATTATTCTCCCATATACACTTTAGTGGCATGATTTACTTGTTCCTTTATTTCTTCAAAGAAATCATAATATGAAAAGCTGGAGCAACCTTGAGTTACTTTTGAATCAGGATGCGACTAATTAAATTGTGTGGATGCATGTTTCATGTACTGGAAACTTTTTCTTAGCGTACTTCTGAAAAATAGACCAAATGATACATGAAAATGAAATCTCATTTTTGCTTCTTTCAATCTTCCCGTAACAAATTATCATGTGCAAAAATGTGATAAAAAAAAATGTGCAAAAGCATAAAAAATGGATTTAGCTTTTTACCAAGGGGCAAAAGGGAAAAAAAAGAACAGAAAAGCCTCCCATCAAAAGGAAACTGGGACGCATAAAAAGTTAAAAGGTGTGTTTATCTTGCTCTGAATTTTTTGTTTGCGGTAAAAGAATGCATTTATATTTTTACAATTAAAAATTGAATATTATCTTCTTTTTTGGGTGTTATATGGCCATGGGAATGTTTTTGGTCTGTTGGATTTAATCAAAATGGTTTAGATAGAATTCTATAATATTAAATAAATTGTGCCAGATTTCTTCTCATAAAAATTAATTATTTTTCACTTTTAAATATTCATTCTCGATCTTATGTTCGCGTAAAAAATTCATTTATATTTTTTATAATTCAAATTGAAGGATATACTTTTTTGGTTTGATAAGATTGCATTTTTTTTTCTCAAATTACGGTTGCTTAACGTTTTAATTAACAATACCACTATAGTCAAGATTTTATATTAGTTTTTATTTAAAATATTTAGTTTAAAAATTCATAATTTTATAATATAGCTTTTAACATACTCGTTTAGAACCATATAAGATATAAGTGATTATGAAGCTTATTTGCACTGTTTAGATAATTTTTTGAAACCCTGTCGTAATTGGGATTCTTTGGCCCATGTTGATTAGAAGCTCCCAAGAAGTGATTATGCATTCAAAAATTCATGATTGGATTTTTATTAAATTATATTTGATAATAATTATAGAAAATTAAACAACTTTATAAAAATCATACTTTTTAGGTATATAATATATCCAAATGTGATTTTGATTAATACAATCCGAACAGAATTAGCTTTCTCACAATCATTTTTTTAAAAGAATATCCAAACAAAAATTATGATTTATCAAAGTCATTTTAAATTAATGTCACTTTTAAAAATCATGATTATCTATAATCTCATTTGTTCAACTCCAATCCAAACAGGGATTAAAAAAAATAAAGAAAAGTGTGATATAAAAAATATTTTCAAAAGCTATAAAAATGGATTTAGCTTTTTGCCAAAAGAAAAAGGGAAATTTCATATCAGAAGAAAATTAGAACCTAAAAAAAGGATTAAAGAGTAAATGCATAGTTCATCTTACACTGGTGCCATAAGGCTATATTTCTTCACAGTTGATTTTAATCAGAATTATTTTTGAATATGCAATTACTGAAAACGCATCAATTTTATAATATTACATAAAAATATGCTTAATTTTCCATTTATATCAATTAATCTTCATTTTTAAATTCTTTAAAGTTAGAATTTCAGTTTAAAAAGTCTAAACTTTCTATTGCAAATTTTAATTGATATTAGTACAAAGGAATTAGATTTGAATTCCACCAAAAGAAAAATACAAAAATATAAAAACATTAAAAATATATTTAACTTTTTACGCAAAAAGATAAAAAAGAAAAGTGCATATAAAAATGAATAAAAAGAAAATGCACTGTTCACCTTTCTCTAGATTGTGTGCGCTTTAAAAAAAAAAAATTCATATTTTAATAATTAAAAATTTAATATTACAATTTGTCCACATATTTTGTTTTAACTCGCTTGTTCAATCCGAAGATGTTTGACTTAGAAAACAGTCAAAATTCCATGATATGTTCATGTTTAGAGTCTTTGAGCTGCTTCTTTGTCCCTGTCAAACTCTCACCTCTTTCTTCCTGGTGTATGAGAATTGATACCAGAAACAGAGCAGTAATTCATAGACCTACTCATTCTGCCTTAGCCACTTCATATGCAATTTGCATCGGGAGGTTCACTGCAATATCATTCCAGGTGATGGGCATATGAAGACAATAGTTGTTTTCGATGTTGGGATTTAGTTACAACGATCTAACTCAACTAGTCGTATAAAAAACACTAACTTGATGATCAATTTGTCAACTAGCTTGCATTTGATCATATCCAGAGTCAGAACAGATCCTATGTCTCACAAGATCAGGTCTTCCTACAGATGATCACCACAATGTCTCACATGATCAAGCTAATGGCTCAACTGAATCAGTAAGCAACTCAACTCTGTCCAGTCCCTTCCTCCAGCAAGCTTAAAGCTTGATCTATACTCCCAGTCTTCTCTCAATACCATCAAACCAAGTGGGTATACACCTTCATCTAATCTTATCATATCTCCTCGTGTTGCTTCTCCACTCATTTTCATAGAACCACCGGTGTCTATTATGAACCAGCTCTTTTCAGGGGTTTTCCCAGGTGGTTTTTATTATTTTTTTTTTGGGAAGGGAAAATGAAGATAACTAGAACCAAAAAAAAAAAAAAATTACAAGAGAGTTCAGAAGTTAACACCTTACCTGAATAATAGGAGGCAGAGGTTGATCAAAGGCCTCAAAATCATGAGTGCTACTTTTTCCTAACATAATGACAGGGTTAAGATCCTTATTTCCCCTCACTAGCTGTTAGTGAATACAATTGATACATTCCAATTTCTAGCTAATAACAATCTAGCTTCAGTAACCCTGACTAAGGTGTTGTATGATTGAGCATTGCTAGTGAGAACTTTCACATCCTTCCAATTCTAATTCCAACAAAAATTTAGGCTCATAGAAACTGCCTTTATCTCTGTTATGTATTGTGGAACAGGATTCAGTTTCAAATAAAAGCATTGCTAGTGAAATTGCCTTGTTGGTGAAACTAGTGTAAAAGCTTCTGGTCTTGAATGGCTTTGAACATAATAGTTTGCACATTATTGCAAACCTCCAAATCTTCAGTACCAAATAAATTTTGGCATCTAGCAATCCATAAGTCCTAGCAAACATATGAAAAAACAATCCAGCAAGGGAGTCTCCTAGCAGCAGTGACAACAGGTTCATGATAAAAATTCCATAGCATCTAATCAATGAAACCTCCTCTACTAAGTTGTCCCAAAAACCCAACGTTTAATAGTCTCTATTTTATCTCTACGACAGGATAGTCTCTGAACAAATGTAGGACATCTTCATCCTCAATGCATCCTTACGGGTATCGGAAAGAATCATTTAGGCCTCTTTTGTGTCTCAGCTTTGCTGTGTGGGCAGCTTCGTGTGCCAACAACCAAAGCAATACTTTGACAAGGGTGTAGGAGCTTGCTACTTGTACACCCAATGGAGGTTGTGCCAATGACAAGGGTGTTTTTGAATCCTTTTTGGTCTATCAAATGCATCCTAATTGGTACTATAGCTTATCAACAGATTTGGCAAGGGGTAAGTTTGTCCAGAACTTACTTCGCTGGCCATTCCTGACTTTTTAACCTATCCCTTCCATGAACTTCTCCATAATTCAACGACACTTCTTCAAGTAAGAGAAGCTGATTGCCTTTTGTTTATAGTAGGCACCAAAACACCACCTGTCTTATGCATCTCTAAGAATCTTCACCCAGAAATCTCGCATATTTGTGTAAAATGCTCCAACATAGCCTCATAATAAAGGCTTCTTTAAGAGATTTTAGGGTCGTTCAAGCCCCAGACACCTTGTTCCTTGTCATTTGTTGCGGTATCTCAAGAGACAAGATGCAGTTTCTTGCTGGCTCTGGTGTAATTTCTTAAGAAAGCTCTGCTCTATTTCTCAATCTTGCCAAGAACTTCACTTGAGATAAGCATGGTCTGCATATAATAACAAGGGAAAGTAAAAAAATAACAGATTTTATTAAAACAGTCCTCCCAGTGAGAGTTATGAATTTACCTTGCCAAGAAGAAAGTCTCCTCCGCAACTTGTCCAAAATTAAAGTATAGACAGCATGGTTTGCTCTCTTATGAAGAAGAGGGTATTATTTATCTAGACCCCCCCTGAGTTTGATAATGAGGATCTGGCTCAGCTCTAAAGCTTCATAACAGTCAACATTTTTGGACACATGCAAACGAGTTTTTCTTCATTCATCCTCTGACCCACAGCCAGGTAAAATTCTCTTATACAGTCTTTGATCAACTCCATCTGTTTTAGTTTCTTTAAATACAACCCCACTTCACGTTTATCTTCGCTTGTGTTGCTTATGATGGGAAATCAACACATCATATGGCAAAACAACTGTCCGGACAACCAACCTATTCATTAAAAATTCATCTCTCTATCTTGTTCAGTGAGAAAATTAGCTTGAATTTATTTAAACGGAAGAGATGACTTAGTAAGGCTAAACGCAAATAAAAGAGTGACCAATAGAAGGTCCATTTCGATATCTATACCTACAGAAACTGGCTGATTAAAGAATACTATTTTATTTACTTAATACAGCAGTTTCAGCGAATCAAATGTTGCCATTTGCTAGATGTTGACTTCTCTTCAAAAAATGCCATTTTCTAGACGTTGACTTTTCTTCAAAAGACATTGTCTACACAAAGGTGGCAGTTAACTGGCATTCAAAAAGAATCTTTAGGCTATTAGCTTAATAAATTACCTCTTTTTGTGAATAACTTATAACTTACACTTGATTATATATTAGTGGCCATATATATTTTTGAACTAGTTTGGCCCATGAAATATTTTTCATAAAAATAAGAATAAAAAGGCTTAGTCATAAACCCAGTCAGTATGAGAATCAACCAACAAGTGAAACTGCACATTTAGAGCCTGAGATATCCAACGGGTATGTAGATACAAAATAATTCCTCTTTGTGACTACAGCGACATGTTTCTTCCCTTATCCTTCAAATGAAAATACTTCCGTAAGTGTCAAATTCCCCAGTTAGTGACTACCGTGTCAAATTTCTCCATTTATCCTTCAAATCAACATGAAAAAAAAATAAAAGAAA